CTGTAAATTTGGATGCTTATTCTGCAAAATGGCTCTTTTTGAAAATTTAAAAACTTTAAAGCAAAAGACCTATTTCAATGAAATAAGGCATTCAAAGCAACAGATTCCAACACTGTGCAAGCACAAAAGACAAATGGTCAAAGTATATAATCAACTTACTTCACATTTGACACAAAATATAAAAATATCTTTAGGCAGAGAAACAGCACGAAGGGATTAAAATGAGGAAGTTATTCTGGAAGTCTGCCAGTCAAAAGCTGCATTGTTTTATTTTCGCTGGGAAAAAAAACTACTTGTGGAGAATATGGTGCAGCTGGAAATGACTTGTGTCCCTTGCCAGTTCCTCCCTAGAGACCCTCCAAAGGGTACGAAAATATTCACCAACACTTACCCCTTAATTGTATTCAAGCTCCCAGAAGGCAACACTTGACAAAAATCACCATTAGCTCCTGACAGTACAACATGTTCAGGAAATGCTTACCTGATCAATAGAAAATCATTGGGGACTTACTTTACAACTTTGGAATGGTTAAAAAAAAATCTTCCTTTTGTCCAATATGATAAAATATGTGATAGCATTTATATTTTTTTTCTCTTTTGTTTTTATCTACTTGAAATGCAAAAGGCCAGTCGCTTGTTATTACAGAAAGCATCCGACAAATTAACAAGTAAATGTCAAAGAATGAGAACTAAAAAATTCTCTTATTAAAAAACTTATTTACATTTTGATTTTGGAGTTCCATAAAGGCAAATGTGCTTTCCAATTTAATTAATGAGAACAAAAAATAGACATGCACATCGTGCATAAGTGAATGGCAATGAACCAACATAAGTGAATGAGCTTAAACATTTTAGAAAAGACCTTCCTAAAAGATGAAGTAAAGGTTGACCGGAAATATTACATCAGTTACTTCTTCATCAATTTGTAATTGGAATACCTTGATGTACTTTACTACACAAATTGGTTTAGTCAGAAGCTATTCATGGCTAGTGCCTTTTTAAATTAAAATGAGATTTTAGGGTCTCTGCTTCATAGAAATTTCTAAAGTATAGCTTGAAATGTCATTTTAGTGAAATGCAGATTGTGCTTCTGCATTACCAAACATGGCACAATGAAAAAGTAATCAAATATACATGTATAGTTTACAATAAGCTCAACTGAGAGTGGCATCCATTCTTTAAAGTATGTTACATGAGCGACCACATTAGCTGCATTTTCAAATAAAGTATCATTACCGCTCTGCTTCACTAATGTAACTTCATGCTCCAACTGATAGGAGCAATAGTCCGACACTCAAAACTAGCCTTTTAATGATCACAGTTACAAGAGTCCTGATTTTAGCCAATAGTGGAATCGGATGGATGGAGTGCAAGGTGAATATCATACCCTTGGCATTGCAAGAGCTGAGTGATTTTAAGTCCAAGGCTGCATTCACATGTCAGTGATCACCCTAAGTGGATGACAAAACAGCAGCTGGTAATTGGATAGGGTTTGGAAACTTGGATGCCAAAAGGTCCCTAGCAACAAAGTGTGGGTTTCAGGTGGGCCAAACAGGAAAGAAGTTCCAGATAAAAGAGGCTTTCTCTGGTGCTGGCAGATTCTGAACTTGCAATGGAAGTTTAAAAAAGATTTATTTGGGATCTGGTTCCTATTCCTCTGTCTTCACTAGATGGAAAAGCTATAACTGCTTCCACACTCAGGGTAGAATTACAATTACAACTGGGGCCAATGACATAATCAAAGACTGATCTGCAAATTAAGTTTCAAACAAGTGTCATTGCTACTTGATCAGAAAACAGGAAGGGTGCAGAACGCCAGGGGTAGATCACTTGGCTGAATTAACTTCCTGCTTCCCTGGTTTTGTCAGGTGGATGGGATGAAAATCCCAATTCAAAAGCTAGAAACGTATCAATTTGCTCAAAATATTATCTGTACCAAATCACTATTTGGGTACGCAAATATTTTCAGCCATTGAGTAATATGGCCTGAATCACAATAGTGTATTAACAGGTGATAATTGCAAATTAGTAAATTAACACAGAGATTGCCTCAATTAGCTTCAGAAATTCTAATACTGTACCTTACTGGAGATTTTACTGAAAAACAAAAAAGTAATATTGTTAAAATGCACAAGAAGAATTAGTTATTATCTGTCTTTTCATTCCAATGGCTGTATACGAATTTAGGCATTGCATAATATAAACTCCAAAAGCTAGTGACAGGACGATGATTTATGCCTCCAGCCAGGAAGATCCGAAGGGCCCACAGAGGGTAAAGTGCAAAAGGGGGAGGCTCGACAGCTGCTCTCAGTGGGCTTGCTTTGGCAGGCAGGCTGTAGTTACCTCTTGTGAAACCTGTACCTGCAGATGAGCTGATCCACAACTACTCTCCACTAGCAGATGGGGTGAGGAAAGAATTGTGGACGAATATTAAAAGAACACAACAGTTCTTCAAGCAAATAACTGATTCAAACACTGGCAAATGAACGAGCAGCCACTGCGAAAACAGGTGCTGGCATCAACATGACAAAATGATGAAGATTCTCTTCCATGTTGCTGTAAAGAAAACTAAATATAAAAACAGTTCATTTGGGGGGAGAAAAGGAGGAGTAACCTAGCTATATGATTGCTCCCAAATGGCAATCATCTCCCCAGAGGGCACCACCAACTTCAAACACCTTCATGTTCAACATCCAAATTTGTGCTTCATTAGGCGACAGAGTTTTCAAGGTTTCCATTGTGGACACTCTAATTGCCTATTTGAAGCTGTATTTCAAGTGTAAGGAAGCACCCCAATATCAAATTCAACCACATCACAACAAATGGGAGTGCCATATTGATATATGTGTATATGGGTGGCTGGGAGTAGAACAAAAAGGCTGCTATTTGTCTGAAGGCTCATGGGGAAAGATGCCATATCAAAACCAGCACAACATCCGTCAGACCTGTCTCTAACTTCCCTTATCAATTACTGAGCTGTCATCTAAACTCTTGCACATAAGCAAATGTTAAAACATTTAAAACAGACCTGCATAATGGATGCAGCTGTAAAGGTAGAGGCATATCTTGGCAGATGTGAAGAAACAGTAGCTACTGAAGATGTTATTATATTGCATTTGTGTGAGAACAGAAGCTACTGATTCCACGTTTGAAGAACTGTATTTCTGAAAGAAAGGATATACTGCATTGTCGATTGAACATATTGCATTAGAACAATTACTGTTCTGAACACAATACCACTGGGATAATTCCACACTTGCTGGTACAATATTGGCACCATATGTGAAAGGGAGTAGCACCCAATTATACTGCATGATTAGTTTTTCTTTAGTCAAAAATGGATTAAAAGAAGGAAGAGGAAAGGGGTGTTGCAAAGACTTGATAAGTTACCAACATGTAATACAACCTTGAAAAGAAGCATATATATATAAGTGATAGAAAGTCACTGTAAATTGTATCCTAAAATGGACTTTATGGTGATTGCAGTAAGGCCATGGTGGGTATGAAGCAAATTGACAGGACCGTATCTTGGAATTAGCCTTACATATATTGATACTTTTGAGACTGGACTAGTACCAGATGCATTAAGGTGCACTTTTCATGGCAGAATGGAGAGAACCTTGGTAAAGAAATCATACAACAATCACAGTACAATGACAGTGTCCTTTTAGCTGTGTCAGCACATCACAACATTTTTGTTTTGCAAATTCGTGACATTAAACATTTCAGGATACATGAATAAATTGAATTATGTTATAAAATGACCCAGCTCTGCTTTCAATGTGGTACCTGAAGTGGATTAGCTCAATTTCTTATTTATTTATTCTGTGAAAGATGGCCACATTTGAAAAGGTAGGTCATGTGGATTTGATTTGTGGTGGTTTTAAAATGCAGTCTAGTAGAAGGTGATAAAGGGGATTCTCTCTCTTTCAAGAGCTATTACTATTAACATTTAATTGCAAAGTACAGTGAGTGCTCCTCTTGCAGGAGTCAGGATTAGCAGTACTGTATAAAACATTACCCTTCCAATTTCCACATACTGTTCATTTCAATAATGTATTTTTTTTATTGGAAGTTTTTGTTCTTCCATCAGTTTCTTTGTATTTTCTGTCACTTGTTGGCTGCTCAAGAAAGGGTGTGTGTGTGTGGCTCTGTGGCTGTGTGGCTGTGTGTGTGTGTCAATGCCTGTAATAAATACGGCTTTGTGAATGATTGGTCAAGAGGTGAAACTCAGGTGGGGGAGCCTAGACTGCATCAGTTACACTCCTTCCCACCACAAAATCTTTCCACCCCCACGAGCTCAAGATTGAATGTCTCATTTTCACGGGTAATCTTCTGTCTGGTGAAGTCTGCTAGGAATTGAGAAGCAAGTTGAAATAAAACTGGATTTGAACTCTCTACCTTGTAATTGGAAGAACACTGTTTGACTAGAAGCCTCTTTTTTCGGTCAGATTCTATACTTAAATAAACATATGGAGAAAAAGTCAAATACCCAGTTTTCATAAATTTCTGCTGTTGTATTAATCAATGAGTTTAATGAGACCAATGAACCACTTTCAGTCACAATTATTTACATTTTTTCAATACTATGAACTGTACGTCACCTGCAACAAATATCACTTCTAAATAAGTCAATTTAAATACATTGAATAAAATAAGTTTTAATGAAGAAAGATTTTTATACCAGCTGCACGTGTCAAATTGCTATAAATACATATCTGGTTTATATGATTTATTTAACTTACCTGCGCAGATTTGCAAACACTGCATACGCTATATTTATTAGTATTAAAATATATTAAGTTTCTTCTATTCAGTTGTAATTAATAAAACAAAAAAAACCAAAGAAACATTACTGCATCTTACATTATACTGTCGAATCCAAAATGTGTATTTAAAGCTCTTTTCTTAATTTACTCGGAATACAAAACGCAATGCATGCAGAAGGAAAGGTTTAATAAAACATTTGGACATTAAGAATATGCCATATTGCACCTTACCTTCTTTCAGCATGCCTACTTTTAGGCATTTCATGAAACGACAGGCCTGGCAAGACTTGCGTCTACGCTTTGTGATTTCACATTCATTTGTCGCTGGGCAGCTGTACTCGATGTTACCTGTAGTTACAAAAATATGGAAAAATAAATCAAAGGAAAATTCTGATTGAGCGTTCTAATTTAAGAACACAGAGCTGGGATATCTGCTGATTTCTTAAATCAGTCCCACTCTTCCTCCCTCTCTTTGCTCTCTTTCCTACTGTCCTCCCCATCCTTCTCTGGTCCTCTGTGGTTAAATACATTAGTGTCTTAATGAAAATGCATTTTGTTTATTGTCCTCTGGAGAGGAGGGTCATCACACAGAGTGCATAAATTGCTAGTGCAGACAAGGCAGGTTGGCAGTGAGTGTAATTGTAACCTTGATACTACATGTTAGCAGTACTCAGGGTCCATCACATTCCCCTAGAAACATATGCAACTCCCTGTAATTAGCACCGCATCCACCTGGGACAGCAGCTCTGATGAAATATTTCAGAGTTAATCACACTTTGTAAACACTGATTTATATTGACTACCCTTCTCTGAGCCAATGCTTCCTCATTAAATAACAGATTAGTGGAACACTAAGAGACTAAACACTGAAAACTCCTCACTCAATGTAAAACCTTGTTTAAAACAACAGATCTGGGAAAGAAATCTATTCACATATACATACTGCTTAGGAGAAAATGTTACAAGTCAACTTGTATTCAGCAGATGAAAATTGTATAATCTCTAAGGCAGGAAATAAAATTAATCATTAAAATCTTAACAATGTTTACATATATTAAGAAAAAATAACTTTCTTAAAGACGTATTGATTTTTTTTGAACACAGAGCACCATTAATGTCACCAGCAGAAACCTGGCGTATGGTCTACAAGTTTTAACATTTTTCTTTTAGAATAAAATATTCTTTCTGAATCTCATCTATATTTGCTTAATTGAGGATATTAAGAATTAGGAAAATCTACTGGGGTCCATTTATGGAAACATTTATGGTGAGATGCAATCTGTAACTTGCTGTAAAAGTGCCTTCATAGCCACATAAATGGAAACAGCAATTGGTCTGCATAATGTAGCATATGGGGCAATGATGGAGCATCTTACAGGCCAGTATCACTGAGCACAGTAGACACTAATGTGGCCAGAGGTAGGATATGCTGAGCAAAAAACAAAATTAGTGACCAAATACTGATTCCATTATAACCTAATTACCTTTAGATACACGAGAAATTAAATGGTGATGCACTATCACAAATGCAGTAATCTAATGGATTCAGGTAGTACTGGAGAGCAGGAGCTTTGCTGCAATGGCTTTGTGTTGTGTATTATGCTGCCACGTGTGTTATAAGGTCTGGTAAGCACTAAATGTTGTGCAAAAATAGAAAATTCTAGTCATCTTAAATGTAACCATAAGTTTAAATAAGAAATCATACTTCATGTCAAAAGAAGTTAGAATTATATGGCCGATACTATCAAATTGATACCTGACAGTTGATGCAAGGTATGCACAAACTATTCGGGGCCGAGGTTCTGGTAAATCATAAATGCTATTTTTAAAATAATTCTATCTCATCACAATTTATGTGAGTGCCTTGTACAGAAATTAGATAAATGAAAGGTTAGACGGAACAGGTAACTTGTTCATTGTAAGACTTACCTGTGAGAAAGATGATATAAAAATGGGTTTTTCCAAAAATTATTTTAACATTTCAATCTCCTATCCTCAGCATTAATTACAAATGCATCATTAACTAGTCATTAATTACTGTACACACCATTAACTGTTCATTTTAATCTTGAATGATAGGAAAAAATTGCACAAGTTTTACCACAAAGGAAGATATTTACATTGCAATTTCAAGTTTTAGTCAACAGAAATGAGTGTTATATTGAAGAAAGTGGTAAACATTTATATAAAAAGAGAATAAAGTTGTTCTTTTTTGCTAAGAACTACGAAAGGTTGGCCAAATTTTAGCATGGACAAATCACAGCTAAAGAATAAGGACAGTGTAAACAGTCCTGTCAATATCTTTTTTTAAGAAAATCTGTACTATTTTTTCCAAAAGTACAGGGAGATATTGACTGGATAAAGCAATTTTGAACTTTTAAGTTGTTATTTTCCTGCACAGATCTAATTGAAAACAATGAGCTGCTTCCTGATAAAATTAGTGGGAATTACTAAATAGAATATTGAATAATAAAAATGTCAATTATTCCTGAGGAAACTATTGGCCTCTACATATATCTGTGGAAAGATTTGTAAACTGTTTGATTACTTTAAGGTGCTAGTTCTTCAGACAATTTAGTGACCAAACTTATTTTTTCCACTGGTAACTAGATCTAATTTCAGTTGATCAATTAATTAATTAGAAACTTGAAAAAAAGTAAAGTTGTTTCATTGGTATTGAAAATAAGTATACATGCTGGGGTACTTGTCTAACATGTATCATAACAGCATACTTTTCTTTATCTTAAAATTGTAACAACGTTAGGGAGAATCGGAAAGAAATATTACCTTGTATAGTGCGCTTGAAGAATGCTTTGCAGGCCTCACAGGAAGCAACACCATAATGATATCCTGATGCTATGTCGCCACAGACCAAACACAACCTTTTGGGCATGGAGTTCAACATGTACTCGCACTTGGTCTGCGAGTCTTCAGCTATAGTGCTCGAACAGTCGTCGTACCGTTTACGGGAGCTACCGTTGCTGCCCAGGTTGGTCGTCGTGTAGAGTGGGGGAGAGTCCAGGCCATTCTGGTGTCCATTCATAGTGGAGCTGTAGCTCCCACTGGCGTCCGAGGAGCCACCTGGACTGTGGTGATTGATACTATCTGTCAGTGAAGCAGGGCTGGATGGCTCTGTCTTAATGTATGATGAGCAGCTCGAATCAATGTGTCGATCCTTGGCTGACATTCTGCAGAGAAGCCTGTGAAAAGCATTGAATTAAAAACAACATTCTTTAGGGGCTTTCTGATAGGCAAGGGACCAGGCATCATTCATTTGTTAGTCAATACAAGTTGTTCTACACGAACATAATCAGCATAAGGGCATGACAGAGGTTTATCAAAACTGGAGACAGGTGGTAAACAAAACCTAAAGGTGGGGGTGGGGGAACGCGGAGGTGGGGAGAAGAAATCAGTCTCAACTGCTTCCCTCCACAATATAATTTCTCTCGTTCAAATTCATTGCGCAACAGTTAAAAATATGTGCTATCTGAATATTATCTGTTGTTTCTGCCTTGTTGCTTCAAAAAAAAAAGCAGGGGTAAGATTTTAAAAGAACAGATATGCTAGGCGAAACAAGGCACAGCTAGGCTTGAAGCAATTACATGGTTAAGACTCAGATTTAAATGCGAGTTGTCTCAAAATGCTAATAGGAAACTTGCAACAAAAAAGTACAATGACAAAAATCCCCAAAGATTGATTGAATAATTTTTCAATTGACACAAATTAACCCCCATTTGAAAAACACAACCAAATCTCGGTGCTCGGTGCAGAGTGACATCAAATTTTGCATTGACAGCACAAAATGGAATGAAGTCAATTCTTCACCCACAAAAGGATAAGATCATAACCTCCCAAATAGCTTTTTTCTGATGGAAAAGGTTTTCTTTGTTAAATATAGTTTTTAGAATTCCATTGCTCTTGCTGCTAATGTGAATTTTAGTGCCTCTAATTTTAAATTCAACTGTAGACCAGAATAAAAACCAGCACCTGACAACTGAATTTATAGATAGTTGCACATGTTCCAGTCCCACATTAATAGAGCCATGGAATTTCAAGGGAAGAGAGGGAGAGTGCACTAATAATTTCAAACTGAAGTCTGCGAACATAATGTATTGGAGAGCACTAATTACAATGTAATAAGTGGAAGAGTAAGTACTCTAAATTAGAAGAATTCACAGAGCTGTTGTAAGTCAATGCACATTCAGCTCTCTCTAATGTTGACTTGGGAAAAATTTAATCCCCACTCTTTGCCCCGAGTGGTAGTCAAGGGATGGGAGAGATATCAATTAATTACTGCTCTCATTAAAGTACTGGCTGCAAGGAAAATTTGTTGCAGGCAAGGTCTTTGACTCATGCAGTCTGGTTAAAGAATGTTCCTCTGATACCACACCAGAGCTGGACAGAAAGAACAGCTCGACGCTTTAACACCTTTTTACATGAACAAAGGAGAAATCTATAACACACTATAATGTTTGAAGAAGACAACGAACAATCTGTTGAAGATAAATCCAAAAACAACTACAAAATCCTAGAATTAAAGGAATGACCAAATGCAATTAACAAATTGCAAGGTGCATGACATTTTTACTCAAAAAAAATGTATTTACAGTTTTATTTTCAATTTGCTATTGGTTAAACTGCAATCAGCTAAGTAATAGCAATATTTAATGTTTTGCCTTAACTAGTTATTTCCTTCATTTGCTCAGCTGCCCCCAGGGTATCCACTTGCAATAAGAACGTTATCTACCTTCAGGTAATGGAACTATTTTATCTCCAAATACGTTGAATATATTTTTATATGTTTCAAGACAATATATTAAAAGATTAACAAGTTTAGGACAAGATTAAAAGTAAAACAAAACAAAATAATAAATAACCTGATTAGTTACATGTACATCCATTGATGAGCAGTACACTGTAACACATTATTCATTGGCACCTGAAAGTTTTTGGATTTCCCACTAAGTTTGATGACTCCTAAAGATTTTAACATATATAGTGCACTGCAAGTTCTACAAGAGGCTTGAACTCTGTATTCCTGATCAATTTTAAGTGCAATAAGAACAAAAATGTATGGCTTTGACAGCTTATTGATAAGCTTCAAGTTTGGCAAATGGTCTAAAAGCCCACTGAATATGCCATTTTCCCTTTGACCTGTAGGGCGTTAGCTGAAATGCTGGTCAATGCTTCAAGATGACTATCTTGCCTCAGTTGAGTGAATTCTGTTCCTACTTTGTTGGGCAGGGAAGAACAGAAATTGGCATCACTGAGTTCTTTATGCTTCAGGGATTGCCTATGGTCATGAAGGTCCCTATGACATGGGCCATCACACCTTCCCAAGGTGGCAAATCATCAATAAAGAAGCAAGCAAATGGAAGAAAACAAAATCCTCCTTTTGTCATTTGCCAAAACAATATTAATTCAAGTCAATGCAGTCATAAAAATGGCATGCACTTTGCAAACTGGATGACCACTTTAAATGAGATAATCTATTAAATTGTTAAAACCTTTAGAAAATGTTTCAGCTTACATATCAATAGTAACTAAGTAAACCTTGCCTGACAAACAGTGCAGCACTATGCACATATTTAGACTGTATTTTCAATTTTTTCAATATAATTTCTACTGGGAAAATTAGACAAAATGGGCATGGCTGTCTCCACTTTTGATCTTCCAACACATAAACAAACCAATAAGTACTGCTCAGGAAGTAGACATGTCCTTGCAAACCACAAACTCAGGAAAATACAGCCCCTTTTTAGAATTATGTGGTTTCCTAACTGTTCCTCTCTGGATACAGGATATTAATTAGCTTCAACACACCTCTTGCTATTTAAGAAAAAAAAAATTAAAAATGTAATAATTGCACAAAGGTATTCTCAAAATAGTGACATTTACAATAGATTTTGAAAAGCACTGCTTTTCATCTGAGAATCAACCAAATTTTGGACATGTGGCAACTTACAACTAGCAAGTTGTTTTATCCCAACTGAATGTTATTTGAAGACATTCTTATGAATCAATTCCCTTCTCCATCTCATTCAAATGCAATTTTTTTCTTGCTCTGAAAAGATTCTGCAAACTGAGGGAGCAACCCTCTGTGAATTTAGATGAGCAGTTCTGAAAGTAATCACTGTAATTCTTTTGTGCTCCAGTGAAAGAATCCAGCTACAATGTTAACGTTTCTGCTTTGAAGAACACACTGTAATTCACTTTTCTGCTTGAACTAATTGTACTCTCTACACAAGGTGCCAAAATATGGATCAGTCAATAGGAAAATGGCACCAAATCGCATTCAACTTGGACAAGGGAAAGAAAGCACATCTAGATGATACAGTATGTCAGGAATCAACACTATAACATATGATTTGGGAAAACATGGCCATTTCAATGTGACAAGGTGTCATTATGGAATCTAAATGATACAATGGCTTGTCAACTGCCAGAGCAAACATATCATCATTGCATTAAGGCATAGTGGTGAGGAGAGAACACTCCTTTATTCCAGCAACAACAGCATTTTACAGCTGTATCTGAGATTTCTATAGGTTAGGACTAAATTCCAGAGCATCAATGAATGAGAAGCAGTCAGAAAGAGGAACAAAATGAAATATGCTGTTCTAAAAATGCACTTCTTTTCTTCGAAAATCGTGCATGCATTTTTTTTTTAAATTACCTCCACATACAGTGTCAATTGCTACAATGAAAGGCAGGGAATACAATACTATATTATGATATTAAAAATCAATGAAAGGGCGCAAAGGATCTTTGGAATTCAGAGCGTTAAACTTGGCAAAGTGCAGAAATTACAGCAAGAAGAGTTAAGAGGAAAACTAGGAGCTAAATACTGCAACCACTCATCAGAATTTGACATAATGTCACACAATCCTCTTAATAGCATACCACAGTCCTTTACTCTCCTGGCAAGAAAGTGGCTATTGAAATACAACAATAAAGCAAATGACATTTGCTATAATGCAACTGAACACATTGTCTGAAAGAGATAAATTAGAAAGGGTCAAGTGCAGACTGGAAGAATCTTGCATAAAGGACAAGAAAAAGTATCTCCCATCTGTAACAGGTCAAGATCTGTGATATGTATTCTGTGCGTTGGGAATGGGTGCAGTTATGGTGACAACAATTATCTTTCTTGTTTCTATTTTTAAATTTCCAATTCAACTTTACTTATTTTCACAAGGTGATGAAAATAGTATAAATAGAGTTGAAGTTCATTAATGCAATGTTTTACTCTAATGTTCTGCAAAATTACTCAAGTCTATATGCATTTTTTATCAAACCAATGCAGCATGTCAGGGAAAAACAATGTTTGAATCATATTTTAATGTTCGACGCAAACTGCTGTCATGGTGTTAATTTCACTCCTGATTAAGGAGCACAGTTGACACAAACAAATATAGCCCATATTAATATATTACTGTGTGAAAAGTTTACACAAACTTTTAATTCAGCAAACTACAAAAAACAATTAATTTAAGCAGAGCTCAAGATTTCTATCCCATCTCCATGCAAGAACAAATATAAACCAACTCAATTCGATTAAGTGACTTTGTAAAATCCCATTGTTTATAGAATGTTATGAATCTTAGTAGATTTATCTCTTCACCCCGTTCACTAACTGTCCCACCTACTCAATTTCTGTTGCATGTCAATTAAGCAACATCCTACAATTGATGGAAGGATATCATGTGGTCGAACTGTTACAAATAAAGTTCACAAGTCTTTCTCTATTGCACCTGCCAGTTTGCAGAGTGCAATCCTGTTCAGTTACATTCACCAGAAGTGTTGTCATTTCTGTAAATACAACCTCATTTTGCTTATTTTGTTTAGAAAAAAGTGTAGATTAAGTCAAAATGTGCTGTATATCCAGAAAAAATCAAGATATATCATAGAAAACAGTAAAATTCACCTTTCCCTGTGCATTAATTTACCACTTTATTGCGTTTCAAACAGTAATAATCTCTCAGCATATTTTTCTTTTTGTAAATTTGACAAAAATTGCAGTTAACCTTTTGATATTAAAGGACACTGGTCATGGTTTCAGAATCACAGCACGGACTAGAGACGAGCCCAGATAAAATAAATCTGACCCGCCTACCTAGGTTTTCCAATCATTTAATAGAGGAAAGGGAGTGCAGGAAGTAACAGTTCAAAGGTTTTCTTTTTGCCCTTCAGTTCTGCA